TTTAAGTGTGCCGTATTTTCCAAACAACACGGTAATAACGACGGCCCGCTAGCATGCTCTACCAAAAATAGTGCTTTGTTGTGTATCTGACAGATGAAAGCTAAACCAGTTCCACACCACTGAAGTTGCAGCATTTTTACAAACCAGTTCTGGTTCATCCATTTCACTCAACGATCCACTTTCGCTCTTCTCATTCTGCGTCGCCGCCATGTGCGTATGTAAACATAGGCACTGCGCATGCGCGTTTTACCCATATTCTATCGCGATATTTCATTTTCCTATCGTTGCCCAAAATTACACCGGTATTACCGTGAACGGTATGATATAGCCCAGCCCTACCCAGGATAAAGGTAGTGTAATTGCAGATATACAGGTTCGCCATTGTAGTTTTTCAAGCGTGGGAAATAAATAAAATGGCACAGGAGATTTTTACAAATGAAAAAAAAACCCCTCTTTTTGCTTTAAATAGCCATTGGTTGGTATTTCCTACAAAGGTGCAGTGTTAGTTTTGTTCACTTGTGAAATGCCATCAGAGCACAGAATGTTGGGAGGAGGGTATTGAATCACACAAATGCGATCTACTAAGATGTACAGCTTAGTTTTCTGCAAATTGCACTGAATTTAACACCAAAAGGAAGCATGTCAATTTTGGACCCTGTGTGGCTGTGATAGTTGCTGTTATAAGTGTTAATTTGTTTAATGGGAAGGGGAGAGGTTATCAGAACAAGTGTGTAATTTGCGTAGGCGCACGGTTTAAAGCTTTGACTTTATCCTGCAGCTCTTCACTGAGTCCTCACCGTGAATGTTTAATATTTCTGGTCCTCACTGAAACGGGTGTTTTAATGAAACAAAGCAGAATTGAAATGAGCCAAACGTAATGTGTAGGGAGAATCCCAGTGTGAGGGGTATGCACACTTTTTAAAGACTGTGAAGTTAGTTTTTCCAGTGAACACTGTTTCTTTTGTTAGTCCCATTTCTACACAGAGGTTGATATACAATTAAAGTGTCTCGGGTGTCTGCTCTTCCAGCACTTTGCCTGCAATGAACTATTGTTTCTTTTTTTTACTGATCTGTGGTTTTACATCCATTACCAACCAAATTGAAAGGACTGTCAAAATACAGCTACTGGAGCTCAAACAGATCTGAAGTGTGTTAGATTAATGTCTCAGTGCAACCTTGCAGTATAAAGCACCTTGAGGCGACCGTTGTTGTGGTTTGTTGCTATATAAATAAAATTGAATTCAATTAAGTATCTACAGCCTCACACAGAAAAAGAAGTAATGCGAATGTGACAAACAGCGACTTCATTAACACGCGGATGGGTCAGGATCTGATGATAAATAATATTTGTGCTCTACTACACATTGTAAAGGTCAGCTTTCTGCATGTTCGCTGGATGAATTCTGCTTTACATTATGTGGTCTGCAACCCAGACGGCCCAGAGAATGACCGTCCTTATAGTTTCCTCCCGTATAATTTTAATGTTTCACTAATCCTTACATAACGCCCAGCGAAGCAGTGAAAACTCACTGGAGTTTGTACATTATTAATGCCGCGTTACAGGCAGAAAAGTTCAGTAAATAACTGTAGTCAAACAGTTATTTACTGAACTCCAGCCGTCCACTCCAGACCGAGCAGGATGTCAGAAAAAAGCCTGAATATCAGGTACAATATAAGTGGCTTGTGATGATTTCTAATTAGCGACCACTTGAATAAACAATTTCAACGATCAGTAGAAATCCATGGGTTACGTCTTCACATTATTAGAAAGCTGTTCTTAATATAAAATAGCTTCAGCCGAGGCCTTAGATTTGAAAGCAGCTGAACACTGCAGCTAGGTTATTTTTTTAAATGTATTTTTACCCATGAACACAATCTAACATGCTTTCATTTGAAGTAAATATGAGTAAAACGATGTAAGTACGCAAGTACAAGTTATTTGGATTGATGTGCCTCGCAGCAATGTTTTCCCCATCAGCCAAATAATAATTGAACATCCGCCTCCCATGTAACGCAGTCCAATTGAATCAATAAACAGTAAACAGCAACAGTAGAAATCTCACTCTCGCGCCACGCTACACGCATTTTATTGAGATGGATTGAGGTCAAAATAAGACGTCAGTGCTTTACAGTAATAGCTCAGCCTCCTTCACCCCCCATGTGCCATTCCTTTCATGTTTCCCTCTCTCCTCCCCCTTCATCTTCTTTCCACAGACTTACAGTGTAGCTGGATGAATTCATGTGAAAGCCCTTTTTTGTCTTTACCCCTTCTCTCTCTCTCTCTCTCTCTACAGCATGACTGTGTAGCTCCTCCTCTTCTCTCTCTTTTTCCCAACAGTGATGTGTTACTGAGATAATGATGGCAGTGACCCTCCATCCTTCCACAAAACACTCACACATAGACATGTGTATGGGAAACTTAAACGAGCCGCAGCACATATACCTCTATACACACGTGCACCCACACACATGCTGTTGACTGTGCTGCGTGTTTGCCTTGCAGGCTAATGGACATAGTTTTTTACACATGGAGCACGAGACAGCCGTCTCTCTGCTGAAGAGTTTCCCGCGGACGGTGGACTTGGTGGTTCTGAGAGACAGCAGCACGCGCTAAAATAGTTTTTAAAAACAAACAAAACAAATACAGCAACGCTTCTCTACTCTGCTCATCGCCATCCCACGCCATCCCACCTGCCCTCCTCTGGAGGTTTATGGAACTGAAAATTGAGCCACATTTTTCCCCCCTTTTTTTTGGTGGTTTTTTTAAAACATTTTTAAGGGAACAGTCAGACATTTATTTGCCTATTGCTGGACCAAAGGCAAATACCAGTGCCAAATGTACCATAGGAAACATATCGGCTCTTCTGTCTACCGGCGGTCAGCGATCTGATCTGATCGACGGCTGGACGGACCGCAAGAGGACTATACACTTTAAAGTTCCTACAGGGCTGCTGCAGTTTGGATTTTGTGGTTGGTTTGTGATTTAAGCTGCCATCTGAGCGGTCAGTCTGAGTAGTTTTTGTCGGTTAGTTAGATTTTGGGATATTTTTCTTTCTTTTCTCCACTGCCGTCCATTGTGAATTTAAAGTATTTTGTTTGGTGTAGCACATGGTTCACTTTCCTTGTTCTTCACAGCTTTATTATTTCTTTCGCATCTTCCGTCTTTTTTCCCCACTTCTCAGTCCTTTTTCTATCACCGTCTTTGATTTTCATACTCCTCCGATATATTTTTTGTTCTGTTCTGCAGGTTATTGCCTCCACTGTACAGAAATTGAAACTTAAGACTCTGCCTTGTGTACATACATAGAGATTCAGCTTGTTAGAACTCTCCTTGGGGCCTGAGCAGACAGCTCTTAAAAGTTTATGATTCATATGATTATTGTTGATAAACTATATTCTCAATTCCCTCCTGTGGAAATACAGGGGTCGTTTCTTCAAATGGTTTTCTAAAGAGTATATCACCGTTTTATCTGTATAGAAAACACTTTTCATAGTTCATCACTGCTACTTTTTTCTTTTCTCTTAAAAAAAGCTGTTGCTTGCACAGCTGTGCTGAAAGGAGCTAAAGCAATATTTCTGAGGCTCGGCCCATTGAGCTTTTCAGCAGAGCCTTACTTGTCCTGCAGTGCCATCTATTGAGCAAGTCATGCTAATGTTTACACACACTGCCATGCACATAAACTAACAGGCAAATACACACATAAAATTACACATATCTATTCTCTGCAATGTTGCATAATGCATCCCTCATTTTAGAATATCATTTCCATTATAAAACTGGTCCATTAATATTAACGGTGCCATCTTTTTAAAGTCCTGTCTTATGTTGTGCAGTGATGTCACATCCCTTTTGAGGTGTTTATAAAGTCACAGCATGCTTTTACATCACTGGACACTGACAGATAGCCATTTTCTGTTGGCTTCTAGCCGTCTCTACTTTCTAGAAGACTCTAGACGTATTAAAGCACTAAGTGCTGCTTGTTGATCTGTGCCATATGCAGCCTCCTCGGCTGTATTTACAACAATATCAGAGCTTTACCTCTTTGTGGCCCAGAACTGATCGGCACACACTAAAATCAAAAACGTTGCTTCAGTGAGCCGGTAAGCTGTTCTATAGTCGTTGACCCGGCTTCAGCATCTCCTCTGCTGAAGTCTCCTGACCTTCGGCCTTCCTGTGGAAAGCAGTGTGAGACACTAATGCCCCTACAAGCATCTGCAAGGTTTCATTTTAGGAGGATAAATCAGATATCGTCTCTTTTTTTGACAATCGGGGAAACTGATCTGATTTGTGTCACATGTGCTTTCGGTTACACTTGAATTGTCGAGGAGGTGCTGATTGATACTCGGCATACACGGAAGGCTTGCTGAATTTGCTGGTAAATGCTCAAACTATTTAAAAGAGCAGGGAAAATGAAAGTTACGGTGGACCTGATGGGTCAACAGTACTGCAATTTAAGAAAACATCTGCTAACAGAAAAATGCTACAAATGGTCACAAAAAAAAAACCTTGGAAAACACAATGGAAGTGCATTAGGGGAGATAATAATGTGACAGAACCAAAACTTGCGAAGGGTTGCACCGACACACGCTTAAACGAAGTGGAGGATTCTTGTGAGGGGAAAACAAATGCAAGGTACTGTGTGTTTAAATCGCAGAATAACATAAATATATGTTTGCTATTAGCTGTTAGCTTCTCACGTCGGCAGCTGTTCCGTCATGCTATTGTGTCCCCAAAACACTTCCGTTGTGTTTTGTGAGGGTTTTTTTGTTTTTTGTCTGATTTTTAGCTTTTGCAGCCTTATTCCATTTGCCAAAGTTTCCTAAAATTGCAGTGCATTTGACCTCTCAGGGCCACCGTAGCAATAGACTCTATGTAAAAAAGCAAAAAGAGGAAAAAAACAAAACACCAAAACAGAGATTGAAAGCCTTTGCTCTGTAGTCTGACTTTTATAGTCAAGCTTGAGAAGATGTACTGACTAAAATACAGAGTCTCATTCTTTTTGTCTTTATGTAAATGCACCATGGGTCTTGAAGGCATTTCATGGCAGTGAGTTTTGTTCTGTTCTGCATAACATCTGATGTTTCATCCGGAGCGAACCATCCTTCACTGTCCTTTTGATTTCACTCGACAGGTACCCTTTTTGTGCCAACTCTCCAAGTACGATTTCCATCACTTTATCAATAGGAGACACAAAACGGCACAGTTTAATCATGTGGTTAGGAGATTTAACCACAGGTACCTACCCCGACCCTATTCAGAGTTTGAAATATCAAAGATATTGTGATGAGAACAGAGTAAAAGGTTTGATAATATAATTATTTTTTACTACATGTTTCAGGTAATTCTTTCTAAATATATTGATATACCTTAGCTTTGCTCAAAAATTGTGATATTTTATAATGACACTTATAACAAAGTTATGGATGGAAGTACGCACAGTATGACTTGGAGACCTACACATGTACTATCCAAAACTGTATAAAATGTATTTCTACTGTAATTGTGAATTTGTGTTATACAAATATATATTATATATATGTATATGACTATTTAAAAAAAAATTCAGTCATTTTCTATGTGTTTAAACTGCTAAAAGAGCTGAACAAATGAGGGCGGTGTCACTGTACATAGCTGTGAATGAAATCCAATTTAAAAATGACTCATATTGATTGTGAATGTACTCATGCTTTCTGCAGTACCTACACCTACCCAACTTGAATGCTGCTTCTTCTGTTGTGTGACAAAAAGTACTTTGACCTCCGAAGAGAGAAACGCTGTCGAGTTTATAAGTTGGACAAATTTTAGTGACGATTTAACAGAAACTATTTATTTCTTTATTTATTTGCACATGCAAGTTGAAATCCTTCCAGTTTTAAGTTTGAGTATTAATGCGGAGAAATGTAATTGCCGAAGTATATATAATATATATCATGTGTTTAGAATGCATTTTGCAGACGCTATCTGTACATACTATTTAAGATACAGTTTTTACAAAAAATAATATATGTATAAAATTGAAAAAATGCTGTGCAGCGATTATACTGGAGCCATTTTGGGCTTTGGGACGTACCATTTTTTCAGTATATAAGAAGTGTTTTGAATAATGTACTAAAGTCTCTATTGTACAAATAATAAAAATGTCACTATTGGTAATATGGGCTTCTCCTGGTGCACTGAGCTGTTTTTAGGAGGGTGGAGGAATAAAACAACGCTCTTCTTTCCATATTTACGCGTAAGGAAAAGGGGAGGCAGGAGAAAGGAGTGAGGAAAAAAACGAGTTCAAATGCAGATGCGGGAAATGCAGGGGCCAGAATAAGGAATGAAAGTAATGCTGCATTGAAGGAAGCTGAACAGAACAGAGAAGATGGTGAAAGGTGAATATGGGAAAAAGTGATGTAGGAAATGGGAAAAGAAAAGGAACCGATGGATAAATTATGCGAAGGAAAAGACAGTGATGAGGATCGCCTCAGCAGGTCTGTGGGAGATTACAGTTACCTCTGTGGATTAAACTCAGCAGGGCCTCTCATCATCTCTGCAGATGCTCCTTTGTCTCTCTGTCCATTAGGCTAACAGCCTGACTCCTCTTCATCCCTCTTGATCCATCCATCTCATCTATTCTTGACACTTATCTGAGCTGTAGATCGCAGAGGGTCAGCCGAGTTCTGACAGGTGCCTCACAGTGTGTCTCTTCTGGGGCTCAAAACCCACGTTGAAGAAAAAGCTTGGCGCATCGCGGTAAGTATGAAAATCTTACTAGTTCATGCACACAGGTTACTGTGCAATTAAGGCAAACGATTTAACATGATAATTCAAATCCAGAAAGCAGTAATTGGTTCTTGTTGGGTCTGTGCTTCCACAAGCCCCGCTAGTTTAGAGACTTATTCCTCATGAAGAACACAAGACATAACAGAACATCTTCAACCGGTTTTTCACTCGCTAACGAGGGAAGTTTTGGTCAAGAACCAGCTCTTGGAGCTCATGTTCCTAACCAGTCTCATGCCCAAAATCCTTCAAAGAGCAGCTTCTCTCGCAGCTATTTATTGACAAACTGTTACAATACACATCACAGCACAAGCAGCTCCCTCCGTAAACACCCAATGGTTCTAAGACAAGGCACTATGTGTGTGTATGTGTAAGCACCTGTATGCATGTGCAAGAATGTGTGTGTGTGTGCATGTGAGAGTGTGTGTGTGTGTGTGTGCATGACTTCCTGCTCACCAAAAGGATCATAAAAGCAGGAAGCAACATCACAAGAAACAGATCTTTCAGTTAGGATGTATCTGCAATAAAACCTCCCCCTGCACAGAGTAGCTGAAGAGGTGGTCAGAGACAAAGGGATGTCTTGATCCTATAGATTGAACTCAGACTTACAAATTTAAGAAACCCAATGACAACATTCAACAATTAGACTTAACAGCTCTATATGGAAATCTTAGTTGAAACCAAAACGTTTATATGAACTTAACCAGAAGCCTTCGATGTATGTAGTGGGAATTAGTGAAAAGGAAATTTAATTAGAATGAATCAGTGAGTTCATTTGTAGGCCAACGAAAATCCCAGCTTTGAGGAGTTTGCACGTCTTATCATGACAGACTGATAAGACTGTCCAGGATGCACCTCGCCTCTTGCCCTATGGCTGTTGGGATATGATCCAGCCCTCACAGTGATCCTGAAATGAATGGATGGAGTCCATTGCCCTGTGTGTTCAGTTACTCAGCAGTCATTTTGTCTGCATTACACAGTATGGTGAAGTACGTGGGTTGTTTTGTAATTTGCCATTTAAAATAAGGCAAATGGGGCTATTTTCTATATATTTTCTTTTTTTAAAATATAATAAAAATTTATCCGAAAAGGTAATAAAGAAAATATGTAATTTCCTCAATGACGTCCAGTATTTTTGAATGCATCACAGATACATTAGTAGTTACTTTTCAGTTTAACACATTGCACGCTAAACATGTGAGCAGCTCATAAAATATATTGACTTACCTGCATAAAGTCAGCTGCATTGCTCAATCAACTATGTGCATCATTAACATTCAATACAAATGAATGCACATGTAACTGTAAACAAACAACACTAACAGATATTTGTCAAGAGGGATTTAAGTACCTGTTGATGATGTGTGTGATGTGTATTATTAACACATCTGAGTTTTTGTCTCTGCAACCAAACTGGAAGTTAGATGCCTTTTTTCTAAACTCTCTATCCGGTGGCAGGTTTGTACCATTCCCCACAGTTCTCTTGGCATCAGAGCCCACTGTAGAACAAGTCTGCTTACTGTGGTATCAGCCGACAATAAACAATAGAGAGTAACACCGCACACACACACACAGGCGCCCACACACTAACGTACATTCTGGCAAAAAGCAGAATGACACCCTTTTGTTCCCTTCCCTCTTTACTCTGTCTTTTACACACTGCATTGGACAAAAAGATACTTCTGTTTGCCACATGACCAACCCACTTACACAATCATGCATGCATTTACTCCCCACTCTGACTCATGTATTATACTGGAATCAGAGTGACTGCTGGCGAGAATTTGTAAGAGATACAGAGCGAGAGTTCATGTGCACCCACCAAAAGGGTCAATAAGCTCTTCTGACCCAATCAATAACAATACCAGAGCCTGGGTCCATGACCTGCATTCAGCTGCTGCATGCTTATGCTGATGGAAGTGTCCCTACCACTGCTCTACTGTCCACATGAAGACACAGGCGCAGTGTGTCTCCAGCATGCATGAACTCTGCTTTTCTAATGTCACCCTCTGAATGATTTCATCTTTTTAGTCTTACGATTGCCTCTAAAGGTGATTTATGCTCACCCATTAAACACACCACGTCACAGTAAAACAAAGATAAACAAGGCAGTGGAACAAAAGGACACCACATCATTTAGGAAAAGCTACTCTTTGGCTAGTTGGATGAAATGATCAATAACAGTTTCCTGTCTATTAAACCAAGCATAGATTGCTTTTCATAGTTTAACATATTCTGGAAGTAGAGCTCTTCATCTCATATATCTATATGTAACTTTTAAAAAATATAGGTTAGCTAAATTTAGCAAACAGGAAATAATTTGAAAATGACTCTGAAAGAAATACTAAAATTAGGTGATGAAACCATACCATATATGTCCGTCTACTATGTTGATGACCTATGTAAGAGATTAAATGCTTCCAGTCGCATAAGTGTGCTGCTTAAGGTAAAAGTGGACAGTTTATTGCCACTTCCTCTTAATAACTGACACAGTGACAGAGATACAAATGTCAGCTACATTCTTTAAAACAGAAAGCTTGCAAGAACCACTTAAATAACCACATTTATTCGTTTATTTATTTATATCCCAGCTATAATGATAAGTGCATGTGCATGTTTGTATTTACACTATCTGTTTCTTAATGGGTGTGCCAATGTCAATAAAACTTTGCACAAATATCATTGCACATACAGCAATTATACTTCACAGTGACCAAAATGTATATCTGCAACAGAATTTTGTTCAAGTCACAAGTAAATACAAAATGAAGAATGTGAAAAGTGCAGCAGACCTGGCAAAAATTGCCCTTGGTGTAGGTTTTTGCTAGTTATGACTAATGAGTTGGCAAAATCTCTTCAGCTTTAAGTAACAACTGAAGCATTATGGATTCATATTTATTATTACGCTTACTTATTACTTCAGTGTTTCCCAGTACAGCTTGCTTAGCTTGCTGTTAGCTCTTGTGCTAGGCACAGCTTTTTGTGATGTCCTAACAGATGTGTCAGTGGTACAGATCAGGAGTTTGGGCTTCAGGTTTCCTGAGCAATATTAATAGTACTTAGTTAGTCTGTTGCTTAGCAAAAATCTGCCAACATGTGTATTTTTCACCATCTCATAGTTTATGATTGGACATTGTCAACTGAGCTAATTGGTGTAGCAGGCAATAAATTAGCAATCCACCCATTGATCCATATAAAGTATATTCTGGGTCCAAAAAGCCAACATGGAAGCAGGAAATAAAATACAGACCCCAAAACTAGTGGGTGATATTGTGGTGGCATTCTGTCTATGTGTAAAACATCTTGAGTGTTATGTTTTTTAAAAGGAAATGTTTCACAGTCCCACTAACCTGTCAGGAGACGTTTTAATTAATTATGGAAATTTACAGTTACATTCAAAAACACTACTCTATATAAATTTCCTCTCAAGGGTGGCGGTTAGTAAGTGTCAATATATAGCAATATATTCATTATTTGTCATGACAATGATCCCAAACACAATGCTGAAGCAGTAAATGCATGGGTAGAAAAACAGCATTTTTCTGGCTTGTGTAGCTTTAGGATCCCCACTTGATCACTGATAGCGAAACACCTCGCTTTTAAGAAACTTAATTCATGCAAAGGGCAAAGACAATAGGTCAAAAATACTGATAAATTTTGATTTATATCACACAGAGTTTTGTTTTTTTCACTGAATGGGGCAGCAGATGCTGATACTGACTGAGCATCTCCCGTGTCGCTGTGACTGGAATAGCAAAACTTTTTGCAACTCTTGCTCAGAGACAATCAGGAAACCAGGCTACAGCTGGTAGAAGGTAGAAAAGGAGGGACGACAGACTGCATGCTAAAGCTGAATGGGCATTATGGCGCTCTATATATACTCATATATAGTCATTAGATTCTAAAGAAATACTTTATTTCTTTCCACTACTAAAGAAGACTTGCCTGGTAGGGATGTGGATCACTACAGTTTAGTGAGACACGTCTGGTACAGGGGATGGTTTTCATCTACTCAGCACACTCAGTTTACCATGACAATATGCCTAAAACCACACAGGGATGAAGTGCCTGGACTTTTGCTGGGATTGCACCAGTGACATTTCAATTGGACCCCCTTGTGTTTTTCTTTGTATGCACCCATGTAAGCTCCATAAACAGACATAACTGAGTGACAAGAGCCAAAGACTAAGCTGGGAACAGGAGAGGAAAGCTTTCATAGACTTAATGTAGTTAGATCAGTATCTGTAAACCCAAGTCTGTCCTCAGCATTGAGTGGATTAGATGTGGATAGGCACCCCAGAATAGACCGGGCTTTTATCCACTGCATACAATATGGCTGTTTAACATGACAATACCTGCAAGACACAAGCTCCTTATGAAGAGCCCCTCCA